GAATTAGTTGGATAAAGTAATTGCAAAAACTAAATAAACAAATAAATATAAAAAAACCACAACCATCCTAGTGAGATGAGAATTCAAAGTTGTTACATTATATAATATATATAATTTTCTGGCCAGGTGCAGTGGCTCATGCCTGTAATCCCGGGACTTTGGGAAACTAAGGTGGGAGAATTTCTTGAGGTCAGGGGTTCAAGGCAAGCCGGGACAACATAGTGAGATGCTGTATCTTCAAAAAAGGTTAACTGGGCATGGGGGCATATTCCTGTAGTCCCAGCTACTTGAAAGGCTAAGGTGAGAGGATCACTTGAGCACAGGAGTTCAAGGCTGCAGTGAGCCATGAACATGGCACTGCACTTTAGTCTGAGTGACAGAGTAAAACCCTGTCTCAAAACATAAATGAATAAAATATACATATATATAATTTTCAGAAAAAAAAACATGAGAGAGATAGAGAAACATAAAGTGTGACTTATATCCAGGAATAAGCAAGCAGGCAATAGAAACTAGTTTTGAAGATGTCCAAATAGGCCAGACATGGTGGCTCATATTTGTAATTTCAGCACTTTGGGAGACTGAGGCAAGCAGATCACTTGAGGCCAAGAGTTGGAGAGCAGCCTGGCCAACATGGCACAAACTCATCTCTACTAAAAATACATAAATTAGCCAGGTGTGGTAGCACATGTGTGTAATCCCAGCTACTCTGGAGGCTGAGGCATGAGAATCACTTGAACCCGAGGGGCAGAGTTTGCTGTGAGCTGAGATCACACCATTGCACCCTAGCCCTGGTGATAGTGTGAGACTCTATCTCACACACACAAAAAAGATGTCCAAATATAGACGAAGCAGACAAAGATTTCAAAGCAGTCATTATAAACATGCTCAAAAAACATTGTCTTAAAAAATTAAAAATACAAAAAGTATGATAGTTACACAACTACAAAATACATAAATATTCTTTAAAAATTAATTTTCTGTAGTTACTAAGTACAGCTGACTGAAAAATTCACTACAGGTGCTTAACTGAAGATAGGAACTGGCAGAAGAAATACTCAATACTCAGAGCAATAGAGATGATAAAATTAAAACAAAACAAAACAAAAAAACCAGAGAAACACACATTTTAAAAAAATAACAGAACCTTAAGTAAGAGACACCTTTAAGCAAACTTGAATATGCATAATGGGAATGCCAAATAGATAGAAAAGAGAGTAAAAATGGAACAAATTGTTAACAGGTTTAATGGATGAATTTTTTCCAATTTGATGGAAAATAGCAATATGCACAAACAAGAAGTCCAGCCATCCTCAAGCATGTTATCAATGCAAAGGGAGTGATACCTCGACAGATCATATTCAAACTCTTGAAAGCCAAAAATAAAATAAAGTCTTTAAATCAGTATGAAATAAAATACTCATCATATACAAAGGAATCCTAGTAAGAGCAACAGCTAACTTTTTAATCAGAAACAATGATTCTCAGAAGTCAATAGATTAATGTAGTCAACGTACTAGGAGAAAAATGTCAATCTACAACCCTATAGCCAGAAAAATTATCTTTCAGATTTAGTGAAAATGAAATGAAAATACCAAATGTGAATAAAAATTAAGATAATTTGTAGCTAGCACATTAGCTTTAGGATAAATATTGAAAGTTATTTCTAATACTGAAGTAAGTAATGCTAGAGAACAATTTGAATCTATTTGAAAAAGTAGGCAGCACCAGTAAAGAGTACTATGTAGGTAGATATAAAATACGGTATAATCATATTTTTATTCTTTGTTTTCTATGAGCCAAGTTACAACAATAAAAAATTACGTAAGACTGAAGCCATACAATTGTACTGTATGGTTTTATAACATATGAAGTTATGATATATAATAACAATACAGAGAAAGAGAAAATAAAGCTAAATTGGAGCAACGACATGACATCCGATAGTAACTTGAACCCAGAAGAAAATTTTAAGAGCTACAAATGATATATTTTATCCTTTATCTTCTATGATTTTTTAAGAAATATTTTCTTAAACTCAGCAGAGTTTTATTTTTTCATTTATTTTACCTGGAAAGTTATATTAGAAATAGCATCTGCCACTTAATAAAGACTAAAATTGTGGTTAGGATATATAATATAGTTATACTTGTACAGAAATAATAATTGATAAAATTATGTCATAATTTCAAAAGTAGTGATGATCAGTTTTAAATGTGAAATAGTCAAATCTATTATTTTGAGGAGTAGAAGGCTACATTTTAGAGGTCAAGTATATTAGTAAGATTCAATGTTAAATCAGTATATGTAAATAGTTCCAATTTTAAAAATATAATTTTATATATTTTAATACATTTTATATTAATTGATGTTACACATATACTATTGTGATCACAGCTTTTATTAGAATTTTAAAATCAATTATCCATAAACATGAACTCTGCTATTAATATCAGTAGATTGTTTAGTACAAAAGAGTTATATTTTTATTATACATTAATTTTGAAATGATGAGGGTTTATAATTTCTAGTTTACTTCAAGTGTAGTTTCACTTGACTTAAGATTCTATGTTCAGCATTAGTATATGTTTGATTTATAACAGTTTGCATGTAATCTTTTGATCTTTACAGAAATAGTAATAAATATATACAAAGAAAAATTAATTGATCTCATTCCATAATGAGCTAGGATATAACACTAGTAATAAAAAGCTTACTCATGTGAAGAAATGGGCATTCTTTTAGGCACCAATGTGCCATTTGTTGAATTTCTCAACTCATTGTCATTCTGGGTACTGTATATCTAAAAAGTTCAGGCCTTAATGTTAGACACATACAAATGCGCCCACACACACATACACACACACATAAAAGTGATATATACACAAGAATGTATACAGTGATGTCAGCAAGATCATGGAATAGGAAGTTCCAAACTCCCAACCTTTACACAGAAAGTTTAACTAGCAGCTATCCACAGACTAGAATGTTGTTTCGAAAACCCCGACACTTAGAAACAAGTCCGAGACACGCATATGGTCTGGAAAACTGAATAAAATCCAAATTAGAGAGTTAAAAAAATGGTCTCACTCTGACTGCATCTTCTCTTCCCCTCCTCCAAGTTGCCACAACACCAGACAAAGAGGATGTCCCTGGGTCCACAATTTCTGCAGGGAGAAAAGAGAACCAGAAACAGCCAATGTTTCTAGAATTCCAAGATGTTTGTAGGAAGCTCACTTTAGTCTCACTTCACAAAACAAACTAAGAGCAACTGCATGGCTACGCCACTCAGCGTCAAGAGGAAATAAAGGAGACAGAGTTAATAGTAGCAAGCACACACAGATCTTGGGGGTATCTTTGTGTTTCTGACAGTTATGGTGCCCTATCATAGATACCAGTCAATCTTTTAAGCCACTTGCAAAGCTAAGCTAGATGCTTTCAGAAGCACAGTGGAAGTTCAAACTAACTTGAGTTCTTAGACTGCTAGACTCTTCAGCCAACCTTAAAACCCACCACAATGATCTCTCACAAATAGGAGGACACCCATCTCCTCTCCTGTCAGAGAAACAAATGGGCTAGATTGGCTTGATGTAGGAAATCAAGCAGTGACTTCGCTCAGCTATCAAAGTCCACGAGACAACTATGCCCAGGAAAGAAGACTTCCACTTCCATTCATCTTAGAAAAGCATAGGAAATAGATTGGCTTGACAACCCAGGAATCAAGCAGAGGCTCCACTCAGTCAAAAATCCTGCCCAACAACTTTGCCTAGGCAGGGAGACTTCTATCTCTGTGCATTTTGAATAAAAATAAGGACTAGTCCTGCTTGGTCCCAGAAGTCAAGCAGCAGTTCCACTCAGCCAAAAAAGCTCACCCAATGGGCCCACCTATGCTGGAAATCTCCTACCTCTGTGGATGTTAGAGAAGTACAGGGCCTGGATGGATTTGACTCAGAAAGTCAAAGAGTAGCTCTACTCAGCCAAGAAGTGCACTGAACTCTGTTGAAGCAGGGAAATGTCTACCTCCACAAATTTTGGAAAAGCACAGGGGCTATACATACTAGACTTGGTAACTTAGTCATTCAAATCAGCCAAAGGCCCCCAAAAAACTCCACCCTAACAGGGAGACCATTTTAATTATGCATTTCTGAGGAACATAACCTCAGGCCCTGTCTGTCTTGAGCAGTGACTCCACCTAACTGTAGATCTCAGTCTGCAGTCCTGCCCAGCTGCAGATTCTAAAGCATGAAATTGGCCAGGGAATACATCTTGTTACTGGCCTGACCAGAAGCAATTACAGTACCCAACCAGCAGTTCTGCCTGATAGCACAGTCTAATCAACGGTCTCACCAGTCAACAGAGCTCAGCCACAAGCCCACCAACATGAGAGCAAAGGTAGTCACCCAGCCAACTAGAGAAATCTGAATATGCTCTGCCTGTCCAAAGTTGTTACTAGTTGATCCTTCCTAAATAATAGACTAAATTAAGTAGTAAAGGTTTATCTCTGAAAAGGGACACTTACAAGGGAAGTCCTCTTCTCAGATTTGTAGATGACAGTGCAAGGACACAAGAGTTAAAATAAATTCAAAATGCTAAAGGATAATAGGGACAGTAAAAGAGTAGAGTTGTTTCATGCAACGTCAAGTTGTTGTCTGTTTGAAATAGTCTATTATAAATATCATATCTTCTATGTAAGCCTCATGGTAAACACAAAGGAAAAATATTCATCAGAAACATAAAACGAAAATAGAAATGATTCAAAGCAAACTAAAGACATATATCAAACCACAAAGAAATACAACAAGGGAGGAAGTAAGAAATAACACATTTGTAAAACAACCAGTAAACAACAAACAAAAAGGCAACAGTGAGTCTTTACTTATTAATAATTACTTTGAATGTAAATGAATTAAATTATCCAATATAAAGATAGAGTGACTAAATGGATAAAAAAGCAAGATCTTCAGCACCATAGGAAAAGTATTAAAAAAAACCCCGGGGAGGAACCGTTACGGGAACTGAAGCTGCCGATTAAGCCTGATCAAGATGACAACCTCCCAAAAGCACCGAGACTTCGTGGCAGAGCCCATGGGGGAGAAGCCAGTGGGGAGCCTGGCTGGGATTGGTGAAGTCCTGGGCAAGAAGCTGGAGGAGAGGGGCTTTGACAAGGCCTATGTTGTCCTTGGCCAGTTTCTGGTGCTAAAGAAAGATGAAGATCTCTTCCGGGAATGGCTGAAGGACACGTGTGGCGCCAACGCCAAGCAGTCCCCGGACTGCTTCGGATGCCTTCGAGAGTGGTGCGACGCCTTCTTGTGATGCTCTCTGGGAAGCTCTCAATCCCCAGCCCTCATCCAGAGTTTGCAGCCGAGTAGGGACTCCTCCCCTGCCCTCTACGAAGGAAAAGATTGCTATTGTCGTACTCACCTCCGACGTACTCCAGGGTCGTTTGGGAGTTTTCTCCCCTAACCATTTCAACTTTTTTGGATTCTCGCTCTTGCATGCCTCCCCCGCCCTTTTTCCCTTGCCAGTTCCCTGGTGAGAGTTACCAGCTTTCCTGAATGGATTCCTGGCCCCGTCCCTCACCCCCCACCCTCACTTTCAGTCCGTTTGATACCATTTGGCTCCTTTTTGGGCAGGACAGTCACTGTCCTTGTAAAGTTTTTTAGATCAATAAAGTGAGTGGCTTTCCAAAAAAAAAAAAAAAAAACCCAAAATAGCAAAAACACAAACAAAACCAAAACCAAACCAAATCACAGGATCCAAATATACACTCACTAGCTACAAGAGACTTACTTTCCTTTTATGGACACACACAGATGGAAAGTGAAGAGATGAAAAAAGTTATTTTCTGCAAATGGAAACAAAAAAATAGAACTAACTATATTAATGTCAGAAAAAAAGGAAATTTAAAAAGAAAACATGAGACAAAGATATTATATAATGATAAATGGGTCAATTCATTAAGAGGATATAACAATTGTAAGTATACACATACCTTGGCACACCTAAATATATAAAGCAAATATTAATAGATCTGAAGAGAGAGAGAGAGATAGACTTCAGTACAGTAATAATGGAAAATTTTATCATCCCATTTTCAGCAATGGACATAATCTGACAGAAAGTTAATGAGGATATTTCGGACTGAAACATTTTAGACCGAACAGACTTAAAGACTATGGAATATCTCAACCAACAGCCAGCATGCATTCTTTCCATGTACAAAAAGATTATATATTATGGAACAAAACAAGCTTCAGCAAATTTAGGAAGATTAAACTTATATTAAGTGTCTTTTCCAACTGAAATGTTATAAAATGAGAAATCAGTAACAGGAAGAACTTGGAAAATTCATAAATGCATGGAAATTAATGAACGTGCTCTTGAACAGTTGAGAGTTCAATAAAGAAATTAAAAAGAAAATTTAAAAATGTCCTGAGAAAAACAAAAATAAAAACACAACATACCAAAACTTACATCGTACAGCAAAAGTAGTTCAAAGAAGACAGTTTATAGTTATAAATATCACATGAAAAAGAAGAAATATCTAAAATAAACAACCTAATATTAAACCTCAAACAACTAGAAGAACAAAATAATGAAGTCCAAATGTAGCAGAAGAAAGAAAATAATAAAGATCAGAATAGAAATAAGTAAAATAGAGACCACAGAATACAAAAGATCAGTACAATAAAAAATATCTTTTTAAAAGATAAGCAAAATAGATAAGTTTAGCTAGACAAATTAAGAAAAAGAAGACACAAATAAATAAAATAAAAAATAAAAAAATGAGATATTACAACTAATAACACAGAAATCATAAGACATTACCATCAACAATTATACATCAACCAATTGAATAAGCTTAAGGAAGTGAATAAATGTCCAGACATGGACAACTTACCAAGACTAAATCATGAGGAATTAGAATATATGAACAGACAAATGTCTATAAGAACATTCAGTCAGTAATACAACTACTCATCTCCCATCTAAAAAAAGCCTAAGACCTGATGGCTCCATGGCTGAATTCTACCACAAATTTAACAAATAATTAATACCAATTCTTCTGAAGCTCTTTCCAAAAATCAAGGATGGGGAATAATTCCAAACTATTTTTACAAAGATAACATTGCTTTGATACCAAAGTCAGAGAAGAACACTGTAAGAAAAGACAATACAGACCAATATTCTTGATGAACATAGATGTAAAAATCCTCAATTAAATACTAGCAAATTTAATCAACAACACATTAAAATCAATGCTCAAGGGGAATTTACTCTTGAGATACAAGTATGGTTCAAGCTACATAAATCAGTAAATGTGATACATCACAGTTTTAAAAAATAAAAGACAAAAAACATATTATTTAATTAGATATATAATAAGCATATGACAAAATTTAACATCCTTTCATAACAAAACTCTCAACAAATTAGATATGTTAGAAATGCACCTCATCACAATAAACGCCATATATGAGAAATCCACAGCTCACATTACACTTTACATGAAAAATTGAAAGTCTGTCCTGTAATATCTGGAATAAGGCAAGAATGCTCACATTTGCCACTTCTATTCAGCATAGGACTGGAAGTCCTTGTCTCAGCAATTCGGCAAGAAAAAACAGAAGGCATTCAAATCGGAAAAGAACAAGTTAAAATGTCACTGTTTGCTGATGACATAATTTTATATCTTAAAAACCAAAAAATTACAGCCAAACCTGTTAGCAGTAATAAACAAATACAGAAAATTTGCAGGATACAAAATCAACATACAATAATCAGAAGCATTTGTATACACTACCACCACCACCAACAACAAAATTCAGTAGATAAATCAAGAGAACAATCCTACAAACAGTAGTTACAATAAAATACTGACGAACAAATTTAACTAGTGGAGTGAAAAACACGTACAATAAAAACTATAAAAAATTGTAGAAAGAAATTGAGGAAGACAAATAAATAGATCAATATTCTGTGTTCACCAATTAAAACAATATTCTTTAAATGTTCATACTACATAAAGATACCTATAGATTCAATGCTATTACTATCAAAATTCCAATATCATTTTCACAAAAATAGAACAAAACAATCTTGAATTTCATATGGAACTGTTATCAAAACACCAGGGATTCCGTCTATGTTCTACTGCTTTAGGCATAGACAGCCAATCGTGGAGACAATGAGTTATTACCAGGGAAGAAGGCCTTAATTGGGTGCTGCAGCCAAGGAGATGGGATATAAACCTCAAATCCATCTGTTTGATGGACTAAAATAAAGAATTTAAATAGCAGGGAAGAAACGTGACCATATAGGGGAATTAGGGTTAAGAAAGAGGAATTGGTCAACAGGCAGCAGGTGGTCAGTCAGGCAATCAGGATGGGTGAGGGATCTGGCATCTCATTGTCCAGATGTTGTGATTTGTTGGTAAGTTTCAGTTCCTTGATACCATCTTGGAGCTCTGATGCTTGGTTTCCTGAGAAAGTAACTTACATAAGATAAATGTAACTTTCTCAAGTTTTAAGACTGAGTGGGTCAATTTCTATGTTTTTCCTGAAGAAATCATAAACATCAGTTTTATAGGATCGTTGGGCCAGTTGTAATACCACACACACACACACAAAAACAAAACAAAACAAAACAAAACAAAACACCCTGAATGGCCAAGGCAATCATGAGCAAAAACCAAAATCGGTGGTCTCACATTCTCTGATTTCAAACTGTACCACAAAGCTATAGTTATTAACAGTATGGTACTGGCAAAACAACAACAACAACAACAACAAAAATTACATTAGATATATCAATCGGTGGAACAGAATGGGGAGGCATGAAATGAACCAACATATGTACGATCAATTGATTTTCGACAAAGGTGAAAAGAATACACAGTGGCAAACGATAATCTTATCAATAAACAGTGGTAGGTTAACTGAATATCCACAAGCAGAAAATTGAAATTAAACCCTTATCTTACATCGCATACAAAGATAAACTAAAAATGGATTAAAGTCTGAAATTTAAGACCACAAACTGTACAGCTTCAAAAAATAAAAATAAAAAAGGGAAAATACTGTCGTGTTTGCTCAGGGTAATGATATGGATTTGACTTCAAAAATGTAGGTAACAAGCCTGGCGCGGTGGCTCACGCCTGTAATCCCAGCACTTTGGGAGGCAGAGGTGGGCAGATGATTAAGTCAGGAGATCCAGATGATCCTAGCTAACACGGTGAAACCCTGACTCTACTAAAAATACAAAAAAATTTGCCGGGCCTGGTGGTGGGCACCTGTAATCCCAGCTACTTGTGGGGCTGAGGCAGAAGAATGCTGGAGGCATCACGCTACCTGACTTCAAACTATACTACAAGGCTACAGTAACCAAAACAGCATGGTACTGGTACCAAAACAGAGATAGAGACCA